GGGCCCTGAAGTAGGCCAGAGGATCTCCTGGCTGGCTCGCCCAATTGTTGCATAAATTGCTAGTTTCGTTCCCCTGGAGGCCTTTCCCAAACACCTCAAGGAGCGGAGTCACACTCAGGCTAAGTCTATTACAAGTTTATTGATTGCGCAATCGGTCGACAGAGGGGTTGAGTAACCCAAAGCGGTGTCGACCCTCAGTCTTTGTCTGAGGGTCGTTTATAGCTTACCTAAACAAAGAACTGTGACGTGTCTTACAACTATAGGCAGTTTCACACTTTTACCATTATGTTTAAGTTTCCACAGGATGTCAGGGCCTTTTAAGTCAGACCTGACTTATTATGGGATAGATGAAGGCGCATGCGTGTTAGGGAAAGTTGTGGTGAGCTCAATGACCTTTTGTAACTCTTTTATCTTTGTGTAATTCTAGGTCATTGAACAGGTGTGTGCGGGGGTGAAACTCTATGTGAAGTTGTTCTTAACCTATATGCAGAAACGGTTAACAAGCCCAAGCCATGTTGAATACAGAAGCATATTGCAAAAATAAAGCATCATGTTTAACTTCAAGCCTTAGATCTAAAATCTAATGTATTTTTCCTACACTGTGACATAACCTTCTCTGATGTAACCCCAGATAAACTAATTGGGTTGGATATGAATCTAACCCATTAACTTTTTCACTATTCCTTGGGGAGAGTTACCAACTCTCTCCCCTTCTAAATAAGATGGGAAGAGAGGGATTTTTTCCCCCCTAATAAAAAAATATTAATAATAAAAGTAAATGAATTCAGGGACATTCCATGACCTAAAATGTGAACAGCTCAACATCAGAGTTGTTGCTGAATGAAATGAGATCCAGCACATACCTTCTGGCCATTTCTCCATCTGATCATGCACAAAAATACCTATAAGTGACTCTAATTTTTGGGACATGTTCTAGGTTTCAGTGGAAGAGCATTAATAAAAAAACCTTTAAAAGCATGATTTAAAGAGAGATTATAGATTGCATATTGTTGCAGGCAGAGGGATCTTTTTCCTGCTGCTATTTATGCTGATCAAAAGGAACAGCTTCATCTCCTGGGTGGGGATAGTCTATAACTTGAAGCTGTATCAGAAATAAGAGAGTCTTAGAGAGCTGGATTTGAGGAGAAGAGAACAGCAG